CTTTCCTGCCTATGCAGGGGGTCGGACTTGATGATCTACTGAGGTCCCTTCCGACCCTAACATCTATGAATCTATGAATCTATGAATTAGCTATCCAGTCATAAGTCAATATTACTGATAAAACACTAAAAGTGTACCATGTGATTATCCATGGGGATACAGTGCTGATCTCATCTAGATACTCCAAATGCCTTACTTGATCTTAGGAGACTTCATAGCATTTTATATCACACAACTCTATCAATTAATACAATGTCTAAGAAACAACATTACATGAGCAAATGAACAAAATTAAACAAAAATGAAACAGACAATGGAAAAGTAGTTCTGGCCATTCTCGATTAAGAGGTCTAGGCTAGTTATGTTGCTGCATTTGTCATTCAAATAACCTGTTCAAATAGGTCTGAAAGATAGGTGCGACAAGCTTCTTTGTTCCACTGTGTCTCCTGCTGCTATTGCATTATAGGGGATTACTTCTATTCGATGAGCACGAGGAACTTTAGGTATACTTAAATTATGGGAAAAAAACACAAATCTTGTTCACTACCTACATGCTTCCTGTAGCTTCATTCCACCTATTTCATTCCAACTACTAGTCAAATGAGACTAAAATACAGCAGAACCTGTAAAAAAAAGTTGCAAACCACAAACTTTCCTTTCCCTTACTTTCTCCCTTCCCCAGGCACTAAATTGGAAAAGGTGACTGCAGACTTCCTTGTCTGTTTTGTCAGATATATGACCTAGACAGTTACTATGAAACCAAAATTATATTGATTTTGTAGAATGTGATTTAGTGGCTTTTCTTCCCTCTTTTACAAGAATTTCTCTGAGGTTGTGGTACTGCTGTACCATGTGTGGCCTTTTCACCCCAGACTCCCATCTCAACATGCTACAGTATTTCTCAGTAAACCCACTGGTGCTATTTTATTACCCTAACAGTATGGCTGACACATTTGGCAACTCTTGCATCTCGACCATACCAACATGCTTTTTGCCTTTTTTTTAAATTTTAGTGTAACGTGTGTCACATGGAAGATTTTCCTTCAATCTAATTTCTCTTTATTTTTCATGTCTCCTCTCTTCCTCACTAAAGTCTGCTGGTTGGGTTGTCTCACACACATTTCTATCTCATGGATTTAGCAGTTAGGTAATACTTTGTAACCCACATGAGGTTGTTTTGTTAATGTGGGTTTCACAGTCTGAAATGTATGCCTTAGTTTAACAGCCTAGAGCCAGGCTATTTTTGAATTACAGCTAGGCATCCTGGCAGTGAGGTGGTGTGTGTACCTCTTGTGGCCTTGCTAAGAGTTTAAGAGCACTAAAGTGCCAAGAACTTCAGTTCTCATGGCCAAGAGTTTACTGATTAGAGCACTTACTGAAGAAGTGGGAAAAATAAGCTAAAGGTCCCTTAATGTGTGGGGATTTGAACCCAAAGAAAGTGTTCTAATCATCAGGCCTTTCATGGACTACCAAGATTGTAGGATTCATGAAGCTAGACTGAGGGCAAGCAAGAGGGAATGTGCCTTTAGGGCCCAGCAAGGACAGCACTTTGCTGGGAGGACAGGAGTCTGTCTTTTCACCCTTTGTTCCAAGTGATATTTATTCATTTATCTAATAATTATTTAGATAATCCTTCATCTATCATTTCTATCATATCTGATAGGAATGATATATATCATATGATAGATATTATATCTATGAGAGATATATCTATCATTTAGATAATCATTTATCTAATAATTATTTAAATTATTTGTTCCAAGTGATCTTTATTCATGTATCTAATACTTATTTAAAGAAAAATGCATATATATTCCCAAGAGGAAGGAGCAGTGGCCAGAATCCAGGGCTCACTCGCTTTCAGGGAAATACCATCCTTGTTGGGCTACATTGCCTCTTATTTGTTCTCCTTCCTTGCTATAAATCTTGCACTACTGGCAACCTTCAACAAGAAGGCTTTAGGCTTGGCCCTCAGACTAATCAAGCTGATAGTATCATTGTTAGATCAATTTCCTGGGAGCTAAGACTTATAGGTTCAAATTCTCTCAGACTGATGAGCGTTTAGAAACTCCCAGGAGACCTCCCATTTCCTATATAAAAGTATTAGTCACTAGGTTGTTGGATGAAAGGTATCTCCTCTGTTGGAGATAATCAGAATTTATCTAACACATTTGGCCTCTGTAGAGACTTAGGTGCAGGGACACAAGTTCATGAAACCCAAGTGGCCATAGGTGTTGAGATGTAGCACTTGACTAAGATGGTGGTACATCTTAACCTGTGTGGTAACAGAAATGTAGGTGAAACTTAGGCACCTAAGTCACTCAGGCATCTAAGTGGTTAGGCATGGCTGTGTTGGATTAATCACTTAGGCTTAGGCACTTAAACTCCACCTACATTTATGCATCACAGATCGTTATAGCATCTGGCCTCAAGTGATTAATTTTCCAATGTATTGCTTTGTACCTTACACACAGGATTTTGTGGAGAAGCAAAAGGTGAGTTAGTCATTTCTGAAATGGTGCAACACTTTCATGAGGAAATGTAAAACTTGTCATATTTCAGGCTTTGTTATGTGTAAAAGGACTGATTCAAAGTCTACTGAAGCCAATTGGAGGCTTTAAATTCACTTCAATGAGCTTTAGAGCCCGGCTTTTCTGGAGTCCATTGGCTTGATCTTTAGTATTTTTGATGCACATGGAAGGGGATCACAGCTGTTTAAGGGATGCATTAAGGATATAATTGATTACACTGATGTAGTTTGTAGTGTGCTACCGAATATATTTATGTGTTAACTGCCTTATTTATCCATACTGACCTTTTCAACCCATCTGTTGCTTCTCTTAGCAGTGGCCCCTACACCAGGCCCTTTTTCCTTTGCATTTAAATTCCTCTCTGTTTTGAACCCCTCCTTTCTGCACGTTCTTTCCTAACATCTGACAAAGTAGGCCACTGCCTACAAAAACTCATGCCTCTAAACCAGTTTGTCTTTAAGGTGCCACACTGCCCTATCTTCTGCCCTGGCTTCAAACAAATATGGCCAACCAGCATAATACCTCCATGGCACTGACACATAAAGTAAAACCTACATTTCCTGCATGGGAAGCTGGATGGTATTGAACAAATATAGACAGCAATCAATGCCAGGAAATATAAACTCAGGGTCCATTACCCTATCTCCTGGGTGGCACACTGTTACTAATTAGGTCTGTTCCCAGCTCTGATCCCTTTGGAAAGAGTATTACTGTGGCTGGCACTAGTTTCATGCAGCCCTTTTATGCTGGGAAGTGCATAAACTGTGACTTGTGCAAAGAAATGAGATTGTTTGTATCCTGACCCCCTCCACCTGTCCCAGAATTGCCATTATGTCTTGTGGGCTAAACCTTATAGTTAAAATGTAGGACACTTCTTGTATTGAAAAAGCTATGAGATTAGCCACATATGGAAGCTGTACATTACCTTATGTGAGCAAATTTTTGAGTTCAAGACTATTTTTCTTACCATCAGAAGTTTCAAAGATGATCACTACAGCTCCTGGTCAGAAATACAATTATGCATTCTCTGTGTGACTAAATACAAATTGTTTGAAAGACTGTGAATCAGGGCCTTATTGG